GGGAGCAGTCCTCACACACCACCTGAGTTCAGTGTAGCAGTTTTGGTTTCAGCTGGTGCATGAACCAGCTGAACAGATCACCAGGACAGCTGGAGCTTGTGGTTATCATAAAGCTCCTAACATGCCCGATTCCAGGCTCTTCCTTTGCTCCTGCTGCCTGACAAGCAGATGCTTTATCGGCCGCTCTTTATATCCGGAGCCTGGTGACGTTTGGAGACCGGCAGGTGCTCGGGCCGGCGCCGAGGGAAGGAGGGGTTGGGCACATCGCAATACGCTGCACAAACAACGCCGGGTGAGATCAGGCTCGGTCTAAGGGAATAAATCGGCGCCCTTCCTCCCCGCTGCCTCTCCGGAAAGCAAGATGAGGTACAGGCGTTCGACGGCTCTCAGAAGTCCTCCAGCAGCCTCCTGGACAGAAAGGAGCACCGGCATGGTGCCTGAGGCACCAATAAACTAACGATGGTCGGAACCGTGCTCTGCTCAGCTCCCTTTGCTGAGTCCATCCCTAGCAGTAAGCAGGTGTGTTTCAGGGATCCTCATCTTTTGCGGAAAATGGGTGCCCCACAGACTCCCAGTTCCTGGTGAAAGCAGTGTTGTTGTGCACCTTGGAAGAGCAGTCCCCTGCCTCTGCTGGTGCTGGGCACTGAGCCAGGCTCAGACAGCCTGAGTGCCAGTTGCAAGCGATGTAGGCTGCTGTTGTGTGTACACACATAACCATCAACAGCACAGGAAAAGGGTTAGTGTTTTGTGTACACATATCCACCTTGAGTCAGCTACAGACCAATGGCTTGGGGTCTTTCCAGAAATGTCAGTGAAAGCTTTAATTCATTGGTTTGTTAGCACTTCAAACTTAACACAAAAAAGAGCCTATTCTTTCTCAAGAACAGGGAAGTACCTCACTTCATTGTTGATGGAAAGCCTCTTGACAGGCCTTAGTGTAAAAGAAAATAAAAATTCCTGACAAACCCCCCAAGAAGCAGAGTTAGTCTTGTATGTAATGAGGAATACTTAGGCACAATTTAAGAACAGGTCTGAAAGGCTTCAGTGTCCCTTGTTACTTGGCACACATGGTGGTTTTTGTGAAATCCAGTTACACTTGTCTATAGCTTTTTCTCTTGGGAAAGAAAATACAGATCCTAGTGGCAGTGACTCTATACATATGCTTTGCTCATCCTGCTTTCTGGTGAGCCTCTTGAAGATTTTTCTGGCCGTCTCAATGCTGGACTAACACCACACACTACTTAGCTACTGTTCAGGCTTGGTTTGGCCTAGTTGCATAAGCACAGGATGGCCTCCTACTGAGGGTTACATGACCTGACACATTATAGGGTGTTTTTCAGTGGAACTGCTATTTTGTTCTCGGTAACAGAGTGAAAGAGGCATGTTCCTGGTAGAGTTTGCCAAACCACTTGTGTCCCATGGAAAGCATCCAATGTGTGTGCAAAAAACAGCAAAGGATGACATTCTGGAGTATGTGAATGGGATGAAGCACTCCTTACTCCCTGGAGACAAAGTGCTGGCACCCTGGGAGCCAGATATGGCCAGGTATGGCCCAGGAACTGTCCTCACAGGCATTGAGACAAGGGACCCCTTACGAGGTAAGAAAGATGTTGCCTTCTCTCTTCTTGTCTTGCTCTGGAACACGCGTGAGACTGTCGGGATAAACGCTTGTCACGATAAACTCTTGTCACTGTGCAACTGTCAGGGGAATAACAGTGCACAGAGTACAGTTTAGTGTTGCTTAGAGCTTACAGGAGCTGATGGGACTTGCTGATGGATATCTGTGTGTAACCTTATCGGTCTGACCCTAAGGAAGTTGTGACCCATAAAAATGTCATCTGTGTCCGTGGGTGTTGCTGGGACAGGGCTGTGTCTGCCATGTGCAGGACTGTGGCCTTTTCACAAGGAATACAAATGAGACAACTTTCAGGAAGCATTCATCTGATCTTAAATGCTCATATTTGTAACAAATGGTACATCTGGGGGTGATTTTATCACCCAAACATAGGAGATTTCAACAGCTCATTAATTTTTCCCACATTTGACAGTCAAGCTCCACTGACTTACCAAAATACTTTTCTCAGAGCATTGCTGCTAACTTTGGCAGTAAAAACAAAGATTACTCAGTCAACAGTTTCTTGTTCATCTGATGACAGATTGGGAGGAAAGATGCTGCCAGTCCTGTGTTTTAATGATGGTGCCCTAGCTGCCCACTCTACCCCCCCAACATTATGGTGAGATGCTTTAGAGGGGTGATAGTTGATCCTGCTGCTTGACAGAAGTAGAAAGTGTACAAAGCTGCAAAGCCTGATCTGTGTATGTGCACTGCCCAGCAGGCCAGCTGCTTATGGCTGCTTACTTTTTCTCTTAACAGCCTCAGAAGATGAAGAAATTACAGTCCAGTTCTGGAATGATAAGAAAGTGAAACTCCCTCGTAATGTGGCTCTGTGGATCCCTCCTGGCCTGTGGGAGAGGATTGTAGAGATGATCCACATGCCCTTCACCAGCAGGCTGAAGTCCAGAGAAAATCTGGATGCTGGATCTTGTATTTTTCCCTACAGTCCTAAACCAGCCCTCATTCCTGTTTATGCTGGACACAGCCTTGCCAAGCACTGCTTGCTCTGCTCACCCTGCTGGCCACATTTCCACTACCACTGTGGTGGTGCTTTGTGCTGTTTGTCAGGATGTGTAAGGTGCATCTGCTGCTGTCACCCCTGTGCTGATGTCTGGCGGTCTCTTCCATCCAGGTCTCTGGTCTTTCAGAACAAATCTGAAGAGGCAGAGTCCAGCAGTGAGCCCTCTCCAGGCCTTCTAGAACTGGAAGGCACAAAACAAGAAGCAGCTGCAGCTGTGGCTACATCTTTCTCCTCTTCTGATTCAAAGTGGGACCTGAAGCCACTCCCCACTAGGAGTACTGTGGTGGACAGTGCTGTTAACACAGCCTGTGGCTGTCTTGAAAAGCCCAAGCTAAAGGATTCTGCAAGACCTCAGTGGAAATACTGGAAAAGAAGCCACCACACATCACATTCCAGTAATTCAGGTACCTTTTAACATCCCCACAGAGAAGCGGCAGTCAGAGGGAACAAAACTAAATGTGCTCTGGGCAGGGCAGTCACTCTGCCTGTAGGTTATTGGTTATTGGGATTAGTACTGTAAATTTGCATGTCAGTCTCT